TGATCCGTGTAACCATGTTGTCTTGCTCAAATGGTTTATAGTTAGCCTCACTCAGCTGTTGTTTTTCACAGCTCATTGGTTCTGAGTGCGTTATGATAGAGTTCTATAGGTGAATTGTAGACACAACCCTGTGTATTATTGCGTTGGCTTGGCCCACCCACAATCCTCAAACAGAAGGTGATAGACGTTGCAAGTTAATGTTCGTCCCCATATTCGTGCGATGGAGGTTACTGCTGAGTTTGCTCTCCACCTTGTAGCTAAAAGCAATAGTAACGTTTGCATTCACTAAAGAAGGCGATTTCTCCTTACCTAATGACTTGAGAGAATATGAGTTAAGCGTTGCTTTAGTAAATGTAATTTATGAATTGCAAATATATTCAAAAGGAAATATTTATGGGGTCAGCTTAGATACACGTCGAAAGCCATGACATGAGAGACACGTGTCAGGCATGAGATGACGTAGGTTGACTAAGCCTCCTGGGCCCAAAGTGTAATTAACACGGAGTTGTAGGTGTGTAGATAAAGTAAAAGAATCAAAGCCCAGAGATCGCCAAATTCGTCTGGAAGGAACTTGGCTGAAAAACACATACAATGTAACAAATGGTCGATGGTAGCGCGAAAGTAAACAGAAAACGTTCAATATTTTAAATTGGCGGATTATCCGTTTAGATTATAACAAAACATGTGCTGTTCTCTCTCCCATCTCTTAGGAATGAGATACACAATTCACACGATTTAAAAAGTGGTGTTTGGCTGCCAGCTCCGGCTGAACTTTTTCACTCGCTTTCGTACCAGGAAAAGCATTTGTGCTGACAGCTGGAAAGCAACACCAAAGTTCAGATCAATGCAGCTGGAAAAAAAGCGCTCGATACCGCTCCTGAGGAGAAATACAGATGTTTTCAGACAATTTTGCTGGGAAGAGAACGCCTGAAACCGGGAAAAATGCTCCGATTTCGGCTTCTGCAAGGTTCCTTGCGTTGCCCATTCCTAGGGATGACAAATATTGGCAAATTCGTTGCTGATGAGCACAAGTTGACCATAATTATGCAGGAAAGTGGATAAGTTTTGTGTGCAACCAGACTGGATAAGGCTACCAACCCTTCCGCATGTGTTTTGCGCTCGTAGACCACCTACAACGATCCCGTTGAGAAATAGGACATAAAAGCCTGGTTAGAAATAGCTATTTTTCCTTGGGCACAACCACTATTTCTCGCTTTCTAGGTTGCGTGCCTAACGGCCACTACAGAAACTGAAACAAAACGGAATGGTAAAATAAGATCTTCAATCACTGAGGAGTGCTCCTATTAGCTCGCGAACTGACGAGAAATCCTATCAAAAGCTATTTGGCTCCCCTGACCAGCAAACACGGAAGACGCTGCGGTCAACCACTATTAGTCAGACTCAGTAACACACATAATTAATCCGTTAAGCCATGGGTTTGCTTTTTCGTTTCTGATACTAACCCGCAAGTGATTTATGTAACAAGAACCAACTGGGTCAAGTTTACTTGTATCTCCGCTATATGCTATTTTAAATGTCTGAATGGAAGTCGTTGAAAAAAGCTGTTCACCTGTAGTCACTTCTTCTTGAAGCCCAAATCAGAATGCTCAAATGTGTAACTCAGGTTGGGTCCAGGTGCACTGTAAATGACTGGTTTACGTGAATGATTCGTACTCACTTGCTTGTCATCTGCGTAGAACAAAGCACCCAACAAATGTGTGTGTAAGAAGCATCTGATTGAGGGAGACTCCCGTGGTCAACCAGTAGCAGCTTACTAAGTGATCTAGGGTAAGTTGCTGATCACTATGCTAAGGCCAATCGAAAAAATTCTCTCTGTGCTCACTGCCCGCTCATTCGCACCAATCCTCCAGATAATCTTGAGGCTGGTGCTTCACTTCCAGATTGGGTTTTCTTGGTTACTTGCTGACGACCTGGATAATAAGGCAACTAGGGACTAGTTTGCTTAGACTGCAGTTCTTGGGCGGACTGGGTGGGAGGAAATTTTAGCAGCTCACTTTTCATATAGTAAGCATGAGTAAACTAGGTGAGAAAGATTCACTTGCACTTGGGCACCTGATGATGCGAAGAAGACCGCGAATTCATCTATCCTCGACAGCCGCCTGTATTCCGTCGCATCAAAGTGAAGGGTCAGGTTGATTACATATGTAAGTTGGGGAAATAAGGGGATAAGGGGTTAGTTGCATTGAAGCCAGACAAGGTTTCAGAAGCAGTACTCATGAATAAAAACGACTACTTTCGGAAAATGCTAGACCTACTGAGTGATGACAGCAAGTTTATGCGCGTTGATCGGCCAGAGAACCTGTTAGAGGTTGAAGCTCGCATTAATCAACACCTAGTATTACCTCTTTTATTTCGTGCCATTGACCATGAGACTTACAAGACCTTGAAGCCGAACAGTTCATCAACATCGCAGCCTTACGGATTGCCAAAGACCCACAAGAAAGAGATGTCGTTAAGACAAAGTCTTACCAATTGTAAACTCCTCACAGAACAAATGGGCGCGTTGGCTAGTGCGAATCTTAGTCTCACTTAGGCAGCGTTACAATACACACGGTCTTAAGGATTCCTTCACATTGATTGAGGACGTTAATCACATTAACATAGCCGACATGCTCATGTGCTCTGTCGACATCCAGTCGTTGGTCACTAATGTTCTTTTAAGCGAAACAATTGATGACAAATGTCATCTGATTGAGGTCGAAAAAGTCCGTGTACAAATACCGACAGTTCTACTCCGGCAGTCCCTGTTGTTGTGCACGGAAAACGTCGGATGCCATTTCCAACAGACCTCTTATTACAAAATCAATGGGGTGGCTATGGGCAGTTCTCTGGAGCGTGTAGTAGTCTACCTTTTTATGATAATGCTTGAAAGAAAACAGAGGGGAGATTTCGAAACTACCTTTCTACAAGCTATATATTGATGACATACTCGTGTTCGGTGATTCGAAAGCACAGATAGAATGCCTGGCAAGACAGTAGAACAGCGTCCATATCAATTTAAAACCTACTCTTGAGTTCGAATCAAATAATCGCCTTCCGTTTCTGGACCTTCTCATTAGTCCAAGGGATACCGGGCTCTTTAGTGCGGTCTGCATATCGAAAGCGGACATGGTCTGGGCAATATCTGCACTTTAAGAGTTTCACACCACTGGGTTACAAACGTGCACTGGTGAAGACTCTGTTTTCCCGTGCCAGACGAATTTGTTCAACTGATTGTCTGGCTGAGGAAATGGAGACTATTACCAGAACATTTATGGAAAACAGTTACCCTAAACGTTTCATCGAGAAGCACAGTCAGGCCAGACAGCCGGAAGAAATGGTGTTGACAGCACCTAAGAAAAAGGTCTACATTGAACTCCCATTCAAGGGCGACGCCGCCACAATGAGGAAAGCCAAGCGTTTTATCTGTATCTAGAGAACATAATACGCCGCTGACACGGTCGTAATTAGCAGAACCTAGATGTTGTTACCTTCAGTCAAGGAAAAGGAACCTGTCGGCTCCAAATCCGATAGCGTTTACCAATTTGTATGTGGACTGTAGAGTCAGTTACATAGGCAGAGCCGAGAGAATTTTGAATTCCAGAGTGAAGGAACACCTGCCCAACTGGGTTCAACGGGAGGTCAACCAACCCGCCTCTAGTGCTCCGAGCTCACGTAAGCCACCAGCGTCATCAATAGGCATGCACATTTAGGAGTATCATCATCAGGTTCACCGTGTATCGGCGTTCCGGATGCTACTGCGTTATCCTACTTCGCGGTTCTTGCGACTCGCCTAGGCCGTGGCGATAAACCAAGTGAGACCGGCCCTATGTGTGCAAAAACAAATGGTTGTTACTCTTCGGCTGCCGTGGTCTTAGGGCTATGGCCGTCGTTCACCCCCGGTGCACATGACTGGTCAGGTGACACCCTTTGATTATTACTTTGATTAGTCTGGTGACACCCTTTGATTACATTGATTATTTCCTGTTATCATAATGGTACTGAAATGATACGAAATGCGCGCATCTACCAACGTTCTTCTTTCTGTGTTATTCAAATTAGAAAAGGGAAATAACTGTTTAAACTTTCAAAAACATATCCGTTCAAAACCAAACATCTATTTTACCCTCACTGCTCTCGTTACGTGTGGTGTGCAAAATAATTGAGGTTGTTAAAGATTATTCATTTGTGTTATCCCGAAGAGCTACTTGATAAGTCCGTCTATATGAGAATTCGCTGTGTTCCTTACAAGTATGCGGAAGAGCGCTTGATCTTGCGTTCACATTATGCTGGCTACCAGTACGTGGCGTAGCCATCTTCGCAACAAACAACCACTCCTTCAATGATGTGTGATGTGTGATGTTGCAACTTTCTGGAGGGTCTAAAGCCACGATTCGTTTCTGACCTTTGCGTGCCAAACTGTTGTTGTTTTCACGTTATCTAGGTGTTATTCTTGATCAGGATCAGCCACAACTCGTCTATCGGAGTTAGTTGCACAAGCAACGGTCTTTCCAATTAGTTTGAATGAATCGTACAACTACTCAATGCTAAGTATCCGAGCACTTTTACCGTGGCCGTTGAGAAGCTTACCGACTGCGTGCTTCTCACTTGACAAATCAATAAGTTACGCCGATGGTCGAAATGTGTGCACGCGGTGTGTTGCACAATTGGTGTCAAGTTTAGTGAGGAGAGTCGGTGAGTGTCTTAAGTCAAAACATTGAGTGATAGCGCACATCGGATTACAGAAAAAGTGCGGACAATGTTAGCCTCTCAGTGCTTCAATCATGTACAATTCATTTTCTGTTTCACCTTATATGCTTTAATTACCAAAAGCCTCCTTATTGATCCTTGACAGACGATTAGACTTTGTCTTCGCTGTTGTACGGTTGAGTATACTTTGCTATTATCCTCGAAATAACCGATTACATTATCCGCTACGGAAGCGCTGATAAAAGTTATTACTTTAATGTTATTCTTTTGATAATATTATCCATCTTCAGCTATCGCGCGGCACACGGTTCCCCCAACTTGGTGTATGATGAATCGTTGGCACGAAGCGCCCAACGGTGGGCTCAGGAAATTGCAAAGCGCAATCGGCTACAACACAGTGAGGCCCGAAATTGTGGCGAAAACCTGGGCTTCAAGTGGTGCAGCGCAGAATGCTCACTCTCAGGTACGTAACGCTTGAAAACATTCAGAGTACCTGTGCACCGTCAATTTGTGAGAAACCTTTAAGCACTGCAGGCATCAACACAGATGAAAACCGACGCTTTCCCCATTGTACGCAGGTGTCACTGTATCTCATCTCAGTTGAGTTCTTTAAATTTTCCGCGCAGAGTGTATATGCCAACTATATTTAGACTGGCACTCAGAGGATTTTTAAAAGTTAATGACTTAAAATGAAAGCATCTGAAGTTGATGGAATTGGATTGATGGGCTACGGTGAGTGATCTAGTGGTTGGAGTTGCAAAATGAGCTGCATGACAGCGTTCTTAAGTGTGACAATCGTTTTTCGCCCCGACCATCGGAGGTAAAGTATAAAGCGATAAGTTGGTTGGTAGGTTGTTGTAGGAAGGAGTATTCCAGGTGGATAGCCATGGGCCTTGCATTTTTATAACGTGCAAGAGGGTGGTGGACAGACCTGATGATATCACAGTTAGTAACCAAACGTAGACGTCCACCGACGTCACCCTTGACGCTTGTCACTTGTGGAATGCTGTCCTTGAATAGGTCGTTTCCGCACCCACAGTAGCCATATTTAAAACGCGGTTGCCAGGCGCATTCAGCCACTTAGATCGTGTTACTTAGCACTGTTTTGCCATCCTACCCCAGGGAAATAGGTTGGATTTATTATTTGTGATCAAATGGAGGGATACTGCATTAAAAGCGATAAGTCCATCCTTTTGTCAGTAAAAGTCCTAATTGCACTTTTATTAACGTGTTTCGATAGCCTACCAAACCACTCAACAGGGCTTGTAAAACAGTGGCTTCTTAGCCCTTAAAACGTCATTGTTCATTGCTCAATGTTACTGTCACGTATACAGATGGTTGTGGGTTGAAGTCTCGTGTAGAGTGTGAGGAGCGTAGGTGTATCTAACAGGTTTAAATAGAAAGAAACGTTAGTCTAGCGGAATTACGGATATCCTGTTGCCGGCTGACTGAGGGCTTATTGTTTAAAACATGGTTTCCAACCATGTTTGGGAGAAGACAAGACCTGGCAACTTTTTTTAATCCTGCAGTGTATCCCCATAACCATGGACGGGAATCGAGTAAAAATATAACAACTATCGAGGCGACTAAATACTCGTAAACCGCAGGCTATTTAAAGCATATGACATACTAGCCATCCAATACATGGGGTATAAACTAGATCATTACAGCGAAGTTGGTGTAAATAAAGTGGAGGGAATTGGCGTTATTTAAATTTGCCAATCAGAGGATATTCTACTTTTTGAACGATACCGCATCGTCAGTAATCACTTTTCGACAACATATGAAATATGATGTTCTCTGATGATCGTGAGTTTCTTGTACCGCTTATTACATACGTTCTTTCATTCTTTGAACTGCACTTATGGGGTCAAGAGAAGCGGCAAACATAAAAGGACCTGACTGGAAGTTCTGGTCTTCGATCTAGGGAGGCTGAAATTACTTTCATATCACAGGATGTCTGATCTGGAGGAAGAATGGAGCATATTGATGATCGGGTTACTTCGATACATGGGACAAAAACCGTTTGTTGTCCTAGGTCCAGTGACAGCTTCCGTCCACTAACGGTAGCGCGAACATAAACCATCAGGAATGGGATCCAGAGTATATTCTATAGGGAAATAACGCAGTACTGTAGCATGACGCGTAAATAGGAAAACTATCCAGAGTGATAAAAACGTGCACAGACAAAGTCAACAAGGACCCAGCTGATCAGACGCACAACGTAAGGAAATTTGTAACGTTAGCGTCAGAGTGGAACTGTGATTCGCTACCAGAAACACCGGCCCTAGACAACCATTGGGGAAAACAAAATGTCACGTTACCACAAACTTCAGTGAGTGAGCTCAACAAAACGCAAATCTACAGTTATGGACGATAGTGTACAGACACCTACATTATTGTCGCTCCTCTAACACCGTAGACCAAAATCCAGTTGAAGCTTTAGAGTGATAGCTGGGAAGTTCGTTGCCGTACATGTAGCAGACCTCGTAGGTGTGGGGAATGAAAAAAGCACTACAATAAACATGTTTCTTTAGCTTAGCTGGACACAACAAGGATTAGTGCCAACTTTTGCATGTGAGGATAACGTTGGTTTCATCCCCCAAAATGCCCTGTGTATGGTAAGACGAAGTCCATCATGATGCTGAAGCTCTTAGTTGGTTCCCCTTTTCCCGAACACTAGGGTATTTCAGCCTAATCTAAAGTTGCTAATTCAGCATTCTCATGGATTTCAACCAGTCTAGGTCAACGTAATTGCCTAAAATAGTATGAATGTGTTGGAACACAAACCCACTCGCTCAATTTTGCAGCAACACTAACAGTATCAAAGCTGAAGTTCACCGAAGACCAGAACTGATTAGTGAGTTGTTAGGGATATCTTACAATAAGTAAACGAGCAATTCCTAAGTCGTTAAAAGTTATTTCGTGGCTTGCTTATGCTTCCGATAATCTCTTGCATACGGAATTGTAACCACTTTGGCACCAAGCAACAGCCGCATACCCTGTCCCCCGACAATGCTAAGTATTCTATTATCTACTGTTGAATATGACATTACTGCTCCTCAGTGTTCGTATTACCATGTTTATGCCAATGCAGGCGTGCCCCGCATTGCCATCACACCGTCAGCTAATTATGAAAATATCTACGCCCGTGTTAGTCGCATTCAATTACTTATAGAGTGACCTTTGTTCATATCTTACAAATGTGTTTTCAGTGACATTATTGACAGCCAAATATAGTCCCGCTTAAATCCATGTGTTTTATCTTTTAAGGTGATCAAGTGACTAAAATGTGGTATGATGAAATTAAGGATCATGATTACAACAAAGAATTTCAACCAAAATCAGGTAAGTAATCACTGAACTTGTATACTGTTCAGTTTCAATTGCCGAACATAGGTTCCATGAACGCTCGTTCAAAGCAAGCTTTTTATCTCTGCTATTCACCTCTTATTCGCTATTTTCATACTCACTGTCATTGTTTACACAAGTACTTGTCATTAGCACAAAGTGACTATAGAAAGCAAAGACTGAGACCCATAGTAGCCCCACATCGATTGATAGGTTAGCAGATTTTATCAGATATAAATGGTTCAATCCCAAATGGATGAAATTTCCGACAAGCGGAATAGGATTCTGCAATTATAGCTTTCATGTGAACAAAGAACTACATTACTACACTATACGGTGGGTGTTGATAAAAGGTTTGTAAGTTGCCCTATAGATTCAAATAGATTTGTTTTCTGTAGGGTTTGTCTCAATCGAGCCTCACTGATTTCGAGCTTATCAGTTTTACAATCCTGGATATGAATACGTTTATTCGGCCACTTGAAATCTGCGTCACATTTATTGTTTTTTGAATACTAACTTAAGTACGTAAGCCGGAGAGATATTGGATTCAACAGTTCAGTATCAGGAACGAGTGTTGCAAAGTTAGCCATATATCTCTCCACAACAACGGAGAGAATTCACGATAAATTCTAACGGGGTTACCGAGAACCGGGTTGATTTGTATGCACATGGTGTCAACCGAAAACTTATATTTCAATAGTAAAACGAGTATACTGTCGAAACTACTTGTGTATAACAGAGTTTTATTCCTAAAGGCCATTAGAACTTTGCATCCATCTGCATAAGCCATTTAACCACCTCTATGGATTGAAGTTTGCAGCTGGTACCGAATGGAAGTGGGGAAACGATGCTGACCCCTTGGAGTCTGACCCGTAGAACAATTGATATGATAGGCACACCTAAAGATGTATTTGTCGTTCGTTGCTGGGTCATGGATTACACGCAGTGTGTCTGAATTGCGACACGTAACCTCATTTGAGACCACGGTTTGTTTTGAGGCCAACCTCTGTCATTTCGATATCTTAGTCGTCCCTCGGGAAACCGAGTAAGGTACACCTAACATGAGCGCGGGGTCGTATATTCATGCAGCACCTGTATCATAAACTCCAGGGTGCCAAGAATTCCGCAGAAAATGACAAAAACCGCCCTGAATCTCATGGATACTCCAGTTGTAACAACGCTGATTAAAGAAAGAAGTTTGGCTCATTCAATCGGCTTGTTGTTTTGTTTGTGCAAACGGTACGATCTTTTGAAGGATTAAGGTGCAATGTCGTGCACAATAAGTAAAATGACGCTCACTTAGAAATTTGCCTGCTGCTTTAGCTCTTTTGAACCGATTAGGACCTGCGGCTTTCCAAAGGAAAACGCGTTGCAAGTCTTCAACAGCGTTCTTCACATTGAGACTGAGACAAATGGGGAACATTGTAAGGTAGCGGTAAATGAGAACTTTCAGGCCATCACCAGACAGAGTAAAGTGCATTGATCTCTGATCACATAAAGACTAAGCAGCCAACCAGTACCGAATCCGGTGTTTAGTGGCAGTCATCGTCAGGCCTAAATACCTCGCTCTCCTTCACCACCGTTATAAACAGTAGTGGACAATGCCAGTTGAGTAGTGGGCTATAGCAAGCAGGCAACAGCAAGAAACTGTCATGTTGCCGCAACTGAAGAAAAACACTGTACTTTTCGTCACAGAACCATTCTCTACGTAACAAAAACAAACGCTGTGTATCAGTTGGCATGTACTCTGTAATTGTATAAGACTTATTAGGTTACATTGAAAAGTAAATTTAGTACCTTAAACCTCAGAATGTACCACGCAATGAGAAGTATTGCTCTCCTACTCAAAGATAGAGCAGCATCATTGAGGCAGACTTCTAACAGATAGCTTTCATGCAAAAATCGATGTCATCTTGAAGTCGGCCCATATGGTCAATATGAAAGGTGGCCAAGTATCTACGCTGTCACTGCAGATGCTGAATACCTGCCATATTCCTCGGGTTATCAATACCGGATGAACTGCTGGAAAAGCCCCGATGGGAACAAGAGCCTACGTCACTGACCTTCCCTTTCGCTTCCTGCAACAGCAGTTATAACTTTAGTACCAGTGCTTCAAAGAGAACGACCAATAGGGATTAGAAATAGTACGGACGTTCTTGAACAATTCGTGGTGGCGTCGCACCTCATCGCTGTCATCTAAATCACTGCGACATAAAGGGATCGCCAAACACTATTATACATGCCACACGGCCCCGGCTGGGACCTGGCTGTTTTGCTGGACAAACTTAACTGGGATACACTCGACCATCATCTAATCAAAGATTGGAGGCCGGAATACTATAGGAACCGTCGTAAAATAGATATACCCTGATCTTTCCGGGTCTAATGGGTAAGCATTTCAAACTACTCCATAGATCGCTGAAACACATATCTCGATGTAGTGGCATTTCTAAACCAAGATTAGTTCAACACATCGTTTCAGTTCATGTTAATTCATGTGCGAAACTCGCTTCGAAAATACTGAAATCAGCTATTCTTTACATAGCATTTTGTCCAGCTGCAAACTTAGTTCTTCAAAGCGACGATATTACAGAGTCATACATGCCCGCACGCGAGCCTACGGCTCATCAAACATACCTTATATAGTTAGATTTTTGCTTGATCCGAATATTGTCCTACAAGAAGGAAACACCAAACTACGTTAGTGATGCTGTATCACAAATGAAACACTGTTTTATCCGCCGTTTGGTTTACTGTGTTTGCATCTATTCTATGGTTTTCTTTACCGTTTTGATCGCGCGTGTTACAGCTGAAAATTCAAAATGGTTGCATGAAAGCGAATTCTTGACTTCATTTCACTTGACTCAAATCAACTGATCTCATCTGCATCACCTGAGTTGCTACTGACAAAAATGGATGCATTATTTGTCCAACATGCTCAATCTTCATCTCGAATACTTTTCATGTGTGTGACATTGTTGCGGACTTTTCTTCTTTCTGCACAAGAAGTTCAAGAAGAGAGACAAGCTGCAACGGATGGTACGAGACATGAAGCCAAGTTAAAGCAGTGTGGTATTTCGAGTTCGTGTGCGCTCTACCAAACAGACGACTTCATACTTGATGTGCTGTCATCTCAGGCAGTTCAAATTTCCTACGAGACTAACCCTCTTGTTATACCCTACGGTTTCCATCAAGATAGAAGAGGAACCGATGTTCATGGGAATTACCAACAGTTGGTTGAAAATATATGTACTATCAGTTGTTAAGCACGGACTTTCCAGCACATTTGATTGCGTTGACTGTGCGGTCAACTGAAATGTGTACAAGCAGGATGCAACCACCTACTCTTGGGATAAGTTGTTGCATAGTACAGAAGGCTTGGTGAAGTGAAAGCTGTTTTAGATGCCATCCTGAAAAGGCATTTGCGATACCAAGCTGCGTCACTTCTACAACGACCCCTTCCCGAAATACCACTTGCTAGGTTGTTTTGTTTGTAATAGCATCTCCCAACACGCAACTGTTCTCAACGCTGAAGGTTCTTTCCCTAAAGGTAGTTTGTTATGAACAGCATCCCTACATACAGTGCAGCACCACATGATCAAAACCATTTGGCTCTGTTAACGTATTGCGTCGGATGCCTCTCAGCTACTTCGATGGACCTAACAACAAGCCTTTTCATTTGTACGGTATCATGTGCAATTAGTCCACTATCCTTCGATTGATAGCCATTTGTAACCGTGGGAACGAGTCCGGTTGACCTTATCTGGTAGATAAACGATGGTCTCACGATACTGGTAAACGGGAAGGCTATGTGAACCTGAGGTGCGGCTGTCCTTTTCATAAACGTGACAGCAGCAAGCTGGCACAACGATTGTACCACAACTGGAACGCGGGAAGCGGACACTAAGTATGAGTGATTGACTAGGAGGACCTGCGGTTGACGGCATGTACATTCAAGCGGAACGAAGTCGTTAAGTGTGTCAGCACCAGGCACCTTTTGGCCAGCTCAATACTGAAGTCAATGGTTGGGTATGTAACTCTTACATACTTTCTGTCACTTATCCTTTTAGTCAGCAGTCTTGTGGAGATATTCTTTTCCATATTTGACTGTCGCAGTGAGCCCGAGCACCGGCGACACCTTGCAAGATTAACAGATGCGAGGCCATCATACTCATACGTATTACGTCCATCACAAGTATGTAGGAATAATCCAGAATGCTTGCGGGCCTGAACCACGGTTGATTCGGAGCGCTGATCCACCTACATTCAAGACGCAAAGCTCATGTGAATTGGAATAACCGCTATCACAATGCCCGGAAAGTGTACGTTCATTTTATGCTTACCCAATTCTTGCGGTCTATTCCTGATAGTTAGTCACTCATTCATGCAAATTTCATGGGCGATATACATCCGTATAAAATGCAGTGCATAGATCGTAGTCTAATCCGGGATGGATAAATTCTGTCATGGAAATTGCGTAACCCATTGCTTTCAATAAACCAAGTTGCAACATGACGCTGCTTGATGGGTAGGGCTTCTTAAGTATCACGCTCATCCGTCTCCGCCAAACACGGCACTTGCATTAGGCATGTAACAGAAGTCACTTGGCACTTCGGTTTCAATCGATCAGCGTGACGGGAGTGCCCTGTCAAATTGAACGGATGGATCAAAAGGGTGGTCTAGATAACAAATAGGCGACGGACAACAGATTCCTTCGCTGTACACGGATCGGCGGATGTTCGTGGCTTTCTCGACTTTTGTTCAACTGAGTCAAATGAACAATGGACATTGAACAATGATTTACGTCGGGTTAAAAAGCAGTTGCTTGACAAGTCCCGCAGGATAGTGAGGGTAAAACTACAATTATACAATGAAAGGTGAGTTGTCTGTTTGAGCGTTTATCTTTCAGATACATTACTGAATAAGAGTAGTGTAAGTGGGAATTGATTTTGAACGACGTGGCAACTTGGGGACAGTTATAGTTAATGGATTACATG